AGAACATCTATTTTGAGTACATGTATAAACTATATCACTTGAATTATATATATATATATATATATATATATAGTGATTTTCCAATGACCATTTCACCACCTCGAGGTATTATATATATATATATATATATATATATATATATATATATAGAAAAGAGAGAGAGAGAGAGAGAGATAGATAGATAGTGTATTGGGACAGCAGATCATTATTCAAATATATATTGTTAAATATGAAAGACAATGAATGTCTTATGTTTGATCATGAGCTATTCTAAGCTTCGTATATTTGCTTTAATTTCAGAAGAAAATAAAGACAAAAACTGTCCAACATTTGGATATTCAAAAAAAAAAAAATTATAAAAAAAATTTTCTTTTAATTATGCAACTACCAATAGAGACAAGCATCCTAACTTTGATTTGGATATTTTTTTTTTTTTTATTATGCTATTCCTTGATTTAAGCTTTTGGCTCAGATGAGCCACCTTCACAGAGGTTATATGGACATTTAAACAAAAATATTCACCATTAAAGATGATATTCTGTTATATTGACATAGAAGTTTACTACGCGGCAATAACTGTTGTGGAATAGCAGACACAGGTTGTAAATTCGTTATGTGGTTCTATTGATGGTGAATATCTTTGTTTAAATGTCCATATAACCACTCTGTGAGATGGCTCATGTGAGCCAAAAGCTTAGATCAAGCAACATCGTAATAAAAAATATCGAAATGTCAGACAATTTTAATCTTTATTTCCTCCCGAAATTAAAGCAACTATATGAAGCTCAGAACAGCTCATGATCAAGCATAACAGACATTTGTTGTCTGTTATATTTAACAATATGTTTGTGTGTGTGTGTGTATATATATATATATATATATATATATATATATAGTTAATTAATGAAAATCTTAGTAATCCATATGGATAATCCTAAGGAGGACGAAATCTGGAGAGCTCAATGTTCAGTCAGAATGAATAATTTAATTTAAAGAAAAAACAAACTACTTTAAGGTACCATTGTAATAATTTATTTCAACAGAGAATTTATTATTCTCTGGATCTTCAGACTTCACTTTCAAACTTGAAATATATATATAAAATGCATAGTAACATCAATACATGAAAGGTTATTTATGGGTATGAACGGATTTTGTTAAAAATTAGCAGACATAATGTCTGTAATTTATTCAATCAGACATTATATATCAACTTTTTAGAAAAATATTTTTAGAAATATACATTTTGACAATGTTATTTGTTAACTGATAGATTTATGGTATATTTAATGAAGATCAACTATGTACTAAATGGTTGGTGAAATCATTCTGCATGCCACAGCACCAATTATTGGTATTTTCATAAGGTCAGAGATAACATTATGAACTCTCTTGCCCAAGTAGTTTATAATATCCTCCTACTACCATTGCCATATCTCTAAATAATTGTCTGTATTATGTTTTATTTTTATGACAAATAAATAACCATTTACAACATTACAGCCTTTTTAAAATCTAAAAAGTTAATGGTTATCTTAATTTGTAGTTTATTGTGAAGGTAATGATTGGACATAAAACCTTTAAGCATCTGATAACTACAGATGAATAGAAAGGTTTTTCAACTCCACTTATCAAGTTTACTTAGGATTAAAGACTAAAGAATATAGTTCTTTGAAAGGTATAAGTTCTCTTCTTGTTCTTGTAACGGCATTCGCCCAGGGTGGGTTGAGCCGGCTCCAATATTGAAGTTTCATGGGAATTTGGAATTCACAAGCGGTCCCCAAACCCGCATGTATAGCACATAAGATTTGATTATAGTGGTGAAGGTTTCCTGCAAGACCATCCACACTTTTTGAAGGGCCGATTACAGAGACCTGGTGCACTCAGTGCCACAAGGTCCCCAAACGACCCTCCACAGGTTTTGAATTCAGAGTTTTCCTTCTCCTAGACCAGTTGCCATCCAAGGCTATAGAACCCAGTCTGTCTTACTATTTACCCATAGCTGGAGGGAGAAGGATTCACACCTTTTCCCAAGGGTATTAGCACATAAGTGAAAGTAATGGATTCGACTGGAATTCAAACTCAGCTCTGCGATTCCTCAATCCAAGCCGCTATCCATTACTCCACCGTGCATCCTCATAAGTAATTATAAGCTAAAGTGAAAAATTAAAACACTTTCCTGTGCATTGGCAAGTCCTATAGGAGTAGAGGTTTATTCCTGCAAAGATTTATCATTATTAATAAAACATCTGCCAAAATAATGGAGCAATTGAAAAGTTAAGAGAGAATGCCTGTCTATATCTCTGAGGTGAAGTATTATGATTATTTACATTATCCAGACTTATCTTCATCTTCATTGCCATATTCACAATGTTTTGGGCATTATACACTCTGGCCTTCTTCAGGTTATTGGAATTTTGAACCAAACTCTTTATTTCGTTCACCAGGATAGATTGCTATAGTTCCACATGTCATGCCTATTTCGGATTTTTCAGTTATTTCCCTTTAACTCAACTCTCCAAGTTTTTTGGTTGACCACTGCTGTAGCCTGGTATTATTAACTCACAACTCTTTGTGGAGATAAGTCCCAGAAATTCATATACAGATGTCCTCAAGGACAGATGGCCCAGTAGATAAAGACATTGGTTTGATCCAGTGACTAGACCCAAAGACTCCACGCTATTATCAGCATCTTTCTGTAGAACCACATTTCTGTTGGCTCAAGTTTCTTTATCTGTGAAGAGATTAACCAGCATTCATTGCCATATAGGAGGAGTTATATTACATAACAGTTCAGTAACCGTTTCTTTGTTTTTAACAAAATTTTCCTATTTCCTAATACTTTGCTTAGCTTTTGGAAGGCATCTATCACTATTCAAATGAACCTTTGTATTTTGGTATTACATTTTCCATCCTCTGTTAAAACATTTCCTAGATATTTAAGTTTTTATACTTGCTTGATTTTCGTGTCTCCAATTTGGAGTGTGTATAAAGGTTTTATCCCTTGTTTCCTTTTTAGGATTGGGTTTCCGTTTCCTTCTAAAGTCTGCTTCAACTTTATACTTTTTAATGTCTTCTCCCTCTCTTTTCAACAGTAGAGGTTTATCCCTTGTTTCCTGTTAAGGATTTGGTTTATGATTCCTTTTAAACTCTACTTCAACTCTATATTTCTAATGTCTCAGCATAAATTCTGAAATTTTATTTACTATTTATTTTTTCTTTCCTCAATAGGAGCATATAGGTTCACCTATCATCCAGTTCACACTCAGGTCTTTTGAATAGGAGTAGGGGTTTATCCCTTGTTTTCTGTTTAGGATTTGGTTTCTGGTTCCTTCTAAAGTCTTCTCTTTCACTCCTAGTAGCCCTTGCGTCTTAGTAGCATTATCACCTTGCTTGGGGCAAATTGATTAAAGGAAAAAAAATTCTTGGGCTGATTCTTTGCTGAAAACCATACACCCTGCCTTCTTAAAATTGATTAGTGTTTTCTTTTCAGTAGGTGTTCCTGTGGTTTCCTTTCTGTGTCTACTATCAGCATTGTGTCATCTGCATATCTTAAGTTGTTAAGATTATGGCCGCCAATAATGCTTCATGGTAGGACTTGCAGGATGAGTTATGCTAATTGGCATGAAACTATTTACAGGTGGGTCAGTTATTTATGCAAAATAATCTTAAGTTTCAGAATATATTGTCATAAGAGAAGAAAACTTATTTTTTAGTGGTATTAGAAGCCTTTTTCCTGGTTAGTCTTTCAAAAAGACTAACCAGGAAAAAGGCTTCTAATATGCTTCTAAAAAAAAAAAAAAAAAAAAAAAAAAAAAACCTAATATGCTTATGGACATAGAAAAATGTCAAAAAAAATATCAGTGAATTTTTTTTTTTTTTTATCACAAGGTTAAAAGTTTTTTGCATTTTTATCATTCTTTAGACGACAAATATATATTATCCTTTGACTTATCACCCAAATTACTAATTTTTGGTAGTATTCTTTTGATAAAGCTGTCTGCATTAAAAAGTGAAATGTAAGTAAAAGAAAAATAGCAAACTTATTATTATAGAGATAAGATACAGACTTGTTGTTCCCACACTTTATTACTGATCACCGCTCTACATTAGCAGTAGTAGTAAGATAATCATATGTCTAATAAATTGAAGTTTTAAAAAAGTAGTAATATTAAGAATTATAATAAAAGGAGTAATTGGTTAAATTTTTAAATTTATTAAAAAAAAAAAAAAATAAATAAATAAATCCACATTTTTTGGTTTAAAAAAAAAAAAAATGTGGGTGCTAGGAACTTTTGCACATACATAATATTTTTAAATATCTGGTTCACACACCTCCCCAGTCTTTTCAACAAGAGTAGAAGTTTATCCCTTGTTTCCTGCTTAGGATTGGATTTTCAGTTCCTTCTAAAGTCTACTTCAACTCTATACTTCTAACGTCTCCACCTAAACTCTAAAATTTTATTTAGATTATTTTATCTTTAATTTTTTATTTATTTTTTCATCAACAGGAGTAGATAGGTTTGTCTTTTGTCCAGTTCACACTCCTTCCCGATCTTTTGAATAGGAGTAAAGGTTTATCTCATGTTTCCTGTTTATGATTAAGTTTCCAGTTCCTTCTAAAGTCTTCTCATTCTCTTTCATTACCAGTAATACCTTGTGTCTTAGTGGCATTATCACCTTGCTTTGGGTGAACTGAGATATATATTTTTTGATGAGATTATAAATTCATTAAAAAACCCTAATTATCTCCCACAATTCAACATTAGTAAAGAGAAAACTAGTAATTTGTAAGTTGTTTTAGAGCAACCATACCACAAGTTTCTGATAAACCATTATACAATACACAAAGTACTAAACAAACATAAATGCGAAAGCAAAACCATGTTAAAAAAGGTGACAATCTTAAACAGTTCCTTTTAAAAAAAACAAAAAAAAAGATTGTCATTTAATATAAGCCAAGCAAAAGCAAATAATACCAACAACAAAATTTATTTTACCTTTCGTATTGGAGAATGATGTTGCTAAAAAAAGTTAATGGACACAAAGTTTAAAATATGTAAAAGCAAAACTAATTGTTGAATACAACAAATACATTAAATGAATGAGGATATTTCTTCTTTATTTTCTTCTTCAAAACATTGGTTGCTTTTGATGGTTGATTTTGTTTAGCTGCATATCAACCTCTATGAGTTATTTAATACTGAAATCTAAATATTTTGTATGCAATTATATTTTTATTTTTGGAGATAATAATGATTTTTGTGATACAAGTTTTACTAATTAATCCATAGCTGGGGGGAAGAAGAGGTACATTCATATTTTACCCAAGCACATTAGTGCATAAGTGAATACAGCAAACTCAACTGAAATTTGAACTTGGCCCTCCAATTAACAATTCCGAGCCATTATCCATTACACCACCAGTTCATGAAAACTGAATTAACGTTTACATTCAGTTTGAATGGATTTAAACAGAAAATGGAAATATCTAACGCATATAGGAATTATTTAATTTCTTTTCTTTAACCTCTGCCAATCAACATAAATTATTTTTTTTTATTATCTATTTTGAAGAAGGCTTATGGCCAGGAGAACCCAATTGTCAGACAATTTCTGCAAGCACATCACCTTTTACATCTGGTCACCTAACTCACCAGACTGCAACCCACTAGATTATTATATGTGGGTTACAGCTGAGCGAGAGATCAACAAATTTCCTTGTAATACCAAAGGCAAGGACTATGATAGCATTCACCAACTCAGACAAGGAGAGCATCCAGAAGAGTTGCAGGAGATTGCAAAGTCATCTGGAGGCTGAGGTTGAAGCCAATGGCGATTTTAATGAATAAATTTACTCTTTAGTATTTCAAGTTATTTTTGTGTAATTTTCATAAATCTATGTTAAAATGAGATGTCAGTATTATTTTAATTTTTTTTTTTTACATAATTTATACGACAATTTATCCATCGCACCCTAACTGTGTGCATGTGTGTATGTAACCTCTTGGGAATTTTTCAGCTTGTCTTTATGATTTTACTGGTTCATTCAAAATGTTTTGATAATTACATAATTGTAATTTTATAACCATTTGGACAGCCATACTAAAAGAGTGGTCAACTGTTGTTATCTTTGGCTGCAATCACCTACCACTTGTAAAAAGTTCATGAGAATACTGTGTGTGTAAAGCATATACTCTAAAATACATTAACTGTAAATTGGTAGTATCATAGCTCATCCAGTAAAGAAACTGCTTCCCTATCTTTATCTAATGAAAATATAATTCCCTCTTAATACAGATGCTTCTATTAAGATGATTCATGTTGTAAACGCATAAGGAACTGAAGTGGCAGAACATTTAATTGATATAATATATATACAACATTCAAATTTGATTTTCATTCTTATTGGACCAAGGGGAAGTTTTTTATGTTTCCACATGGGGGAAAGAGATTTCAATTATTTTCTGTTTTTTTTTTTTTTTAATCATTTCACCCCAAGCAAGGCAATAAAGCCACTAGGATGCAAGGGGGTCACTGAGTGTTAGAGAATATAAGAAAAACTACTATTAAGGAGGGAGGACAATAAAAGAATAAAAATTAAGACATAATATAAAAATTGACACTGCATTTAAATTTTAGAAGATCAAAAGTTGACTGAAAATCAAAAACCTAGAAGAGAGTTCCATAAGCAAGAAGTGTAATAGAAGAAACTGTTAGCATAGAACTTATGATTACATCAAGCCATTTTAACTGTAAAATGATGAAATGTGGCTGTCAATCTAGTACTGCACTTATATTCATGAATTCAAGGTACCAAAGAAAAAAGCTCATTAGAAAACTTACCATGAAAATATTTATAGAAAAGGTACAGGGAAGTTACATTACAGCCATGAGAAAGTTACTGAAGCTGTGATGTCAGGTCAGGACCAATAACATTTGGATTTCTTTTGTTTTCTCTCCTTAATAATGTTTTTCTTTTTCTCATATTCTTTCACTATCAGCTACCCCTTTGCAACTTAGTGTCTTTATTGCCTAGCTTGGAGTGAAAGGTTTAAAAAGAAAAAAAAACAAAAAACATCCAATCTTCATTTTTCATAATTTTGCTCTTTAATCAACTAAGGGAACAAGTAAACCAAACACAAGACATCAATATTTGGTTGAATTCAACTCAGTCATTTTAATGAGTCCTTATAAATACATTTGATAGAAATAATAAAATTACTCAGAGGGAAAAAGAAATTTTATTTTTGATACATACTTTGGCTTAATTAATCTTAATTTTAACATTTATCTCATTCATGAGATCAAATTTTTCAACTTATCCTCATCTTTGTTATTTTGACCCCAACAATTCAGTAGATGCTTCTTCAGCTTTCCTAAAGTGAATGCTGTATTTGGTATACTCCTTAAATGTACAGTTTTATCCTCCATATTCTACAGATAAATAAAACAATAAAATGATGTTCCACAGACAGCTTCATTCCCAGAACTGTTGTATATAAAATGAACTCCAGAAAAGATGCTGCCCAAATCACTACAAACTTAACCTCTTTAAATCAAATGTCAACTGTTATTTATCCTACATATCCTCATAATATGCACCGAAACATTAACTGGAGTCATATTCTTAAATAGCCTCATCAGATTAAGACTTTCATATGATGATTTTCTAAACGTAGCTTAGATGTAGCACAAGACCAGAAGCATGGGGCACCCAGTGAGGATCAAACTCACTATTCAGCTTGCTAACCATTATACCACACTGAGGTACCCAAGATTGTGACTTTCATATATGTTATGGGACCTACCTTTATGGACTAAATGGACTTGTCCTATTACTATATTATGCCTCTCAAGAGAGCAGTCTACAGTTGACGAGTTGACTATGGTTGACTTCTGTCGAACTCTCTGCTTTGACAGAGAGGAACCTGGACGAAGCTTTGCTGAAGGGCAAAGTTTCGTCTGGGGAGTTAGACAGGCCCTGAACCCGTCTAGGTGGGTTCAAAGGGTATATTTTTTGGCCGAGCCTACGGGCTCGAAGAAACCCACATCAAACCCGGCCTTGTGCCACATACATTCCTCGTGGCGGGATCGTTAAATATTGTTGACGAGTTGACTACTGTACTTTGCTGTCAGTTGGACATACAACACTTTTGTATTCATTCTTTTTGTTAATAATATGTTTTCACTAAATTGCTAAGTTCAAGTTTTCTTTCGGACCTATTCTGGGTCCACAACAATATGGATACCATGCATGGAACCAAACCCATTCAGAAATAACTAAACTGTCAATTGTATACAATCACTTTCCAAGATCAATGATTAAAAGAAAGAACGAGTGGAACCTGAAAGCCTTGACAAAGATCATCCTTCTTTGAACATTGTGAACTGGCGCTACAGAATCACAAAGAACGGTACCAAAAAAGGGAAATCATGTCACCTGAGGACTTTCAACAGCAGCAACAACTAAAATGGAGAGCATCTGTAACTCAAAGACAAAATAATGCCATAATCAAGCTGTTGACTTCCACATTACTCTGAAGAAAAGTGCTGTAATGGAATAACCTGCCATCCCCATGAGTGGCAGCACTATAGGTGGTAAACACCTATAAGTATCCATTAGGACAGCGGACAGGAGAGTCAAGCTGGGATCTACGAGAACTAGCGGCCTTCTGATAACAGCACGCACACAACTGTACTGACTTGCAATGACCATGCACATAACTATTACTTCCTTGCTTGTTGTACTGGTTTCTACAATAAACCTGTTATTATTTATCCACCATGTTTGTCCATTCTATATTCCTATTAGCACAGAATATAACAAAAAGGTTAAGAATTAAACATCCATCAATACTGAAAGTAGCAATAACAGCTTCTGAACTTGAGAAACATATTTTCCTGAAAAAATTATTTTACAAGAAGTACTGGATGCTCAGTCAATGAATCCCAAATACTTCCTTTTAGGGAAACAACTAATATTATTGATACTATTACCATAGATGGAAAAGAATATAAATAGTAGATTACAACTGTAGGGAAATAAGGCAAGGGTGTGTTGAGGTTGGGGAAAACACTTAACAAGTAACAAATTGTTCTCTTAACATTTGACAGAGAACAGGTAGTGAAAGGAGAGAGAGAGAGAGAGGGGGGAAGAAATAAAAAATTGAATGACAATGAGTGAGGCTACTGTCTCAAAAACCACAGAATGCTGGGTGGTATGTAACTCCTGAAACAAAATGCATATGGGAATGTCTTTACAAGACACTGAATCTCCAACAATACCAAAGTGAGTCTCGCCAAAAGCAGACTGCTGACTTTCCTGTCACTTTTATTGACATGAAACAGTTGACAGGCCTGGATCTGGACAAGTTACAGAGAGACCCATATCTGGATATGCCAAGCTGTTCAGCTGCTAATGGGGGAAAACCCAGATGTGACTGTATTTGACAGACATGTCTGCACACAACTCAGAGCCTATTTTGCCTCATTATTGACACATGTTCGCCACAACAACATATTGATTAAAAGAAATTAAGTTTTCAATCAAGTCTTTAATAATTTGATTGTTATATATAGTCAATAGGCTTCTAAATAATACCTTTGTTTATAGAAAGCACAATTCCTTTAATAAGTTATATTGCTCTAATGATACATTTAGATTTAAGCCAATGAATAACCATCCAGATTTTCTTGTATATTAGTCACTTCAACCCAAGTTACAATCTGTCTGAAGTTATTAGTCAAATCCAATAAAGCTCACTAACTCAAAGAGTTCTGAACCAATATTTGTCAAATTTAAACTTGTCAATTTCTATCCTTAGTAAGATATTTAATTAAATTTTCTGCCATTTTTAATGGTTAGTTTTTGAGATATTTGGAATTTATCACAATGAACTGACTGAAGTTAATATCCAGATTAAAACCTCTGAAATCTAATAAAACTTTTTGTCCATAATATATGTCAAAACATGGGTAAAGGAAAGGATCTAACAACTGCTGAAAAACAGAAAATAAAGTTATTGAATGAGGGAATGTCTACATTGGAGATGTCAAAGGAACTTTGCAGAGACGATCAAACAATAAAGGAGGCTGTTGAAAATATAACTAAGTTAAGAACTTGAAGCAAAGGAAAAAGCTTTAAGAACTTGCCTCCTTGGGATGAACATAAACTAAAGTAAGTTAACTTTTGACCAGCACTCAGATTTTTGAGAAGGATAGAATTGAAGGAGTCAAGGAGGACAAAAGATGTAAAATACTTTGTGAATTGAAATCTGTAAAAATATCTCTTAGGCAACCTCCTCTCATTAAGGCAAATATTTTAAAGCGTGAAAATTGGGCCAAGAAATACATGAAAATCAACTTTTATAAAGTAATTTTTATGGATGAAGAGTGACATTTGATCTAATGGATGGGCCAAAGGACGAATTTTATCCAATTCAGATATGCTATGACTAAAAGAAGGCAACAAGGAGGCAGTAGTGTTATGATATGGGCTGGCATTGTTGACCAAACCATTATTGGACTATTTAAAGTTGATGAAAGAATTAAACTAAACAGTGTTAACTGTTGTGATTTTATGAACAAGATTTTCTTTGCATGATACAAGTTCCAGTCTCGCAGTTTCAAAGTGAAGTGTGTATTTATGCCCGACAATGCTCCTTGACATGTGTCTAAGCTTACTTTGAATTCTTTCAGCATAAAAGATTTAGAGGAGTGAAGATAATGGAATGACCATCATAAAGACCTGATCTGAATCCGATCAAAAATCTGTGGTCAATTGTGAAGATGAAATTGTATGAAGGTGACAAACAATATAACAGCAAAGCAGACCTATGGGAAGCAATTAAAACTACCATGTTGGAAATTGAACCTACTGAAGAAAAAAAATTAACAAAATCAATGGATAATAGATTACTGGCTCTCATTGAGAATGTAACACCCTTGTGAGCTCCGTACAATTTCTCCGGCGGCCGTTCTCCACGCTGTGATGTTGCCGGGAGTTGGTTGAAAAAGTCGAAGTCTCAAGCTGGGGGCACAAGATAAACCCTTGAAAGAACGAACTTCCACAACTTAGGTGAGTTTAATCAACGCTTTATTTCGTTCAGACTTAGTCTTGCCGTTGGGGTAGGCGATGTGACACTCAGCTCTAACTCTAACAAATGGAGATCAAATGCCGAACCGACCAACTCAGACGAACAGAGTTTCACTTCTTCAGTGTGCCTGACACACGTGGCTACTCCAAGCACACGCCCGGCTGAACTGCTCGGCTCGGAAAAATCACTTGTATTTATATTGAAATACTCGGAAGTCCTTTAGACCACCAGGTGAAAACAAAAGATAAGCATTGGCGACTGTAAGTTCAAAATTTCAAGGTACTTAAATTTTGCTTCCTTTGATGTGTAAACATCCCGTCTCCACTCGGCCTCCAACGATGTATTTTCCAGGATTTTTTTTTATCTTTTTATCTTAACAAATCTTCGTGTGAAGGCCGTCGGATGTTTTTATAGCCCTTTTCTTTTTTTTATTGCCTGGAGAAAGGGAAAATTCTGTTATCTTTTCTTGATTTCCTTAATGTGTTGTCGAGATACAGTAAAGACAGTTTTTGACTTGGTCATCTAAAATCTATTTCCTAAAAGTTTATCTTTTATCACATCAAATCACTTAGTCAAATATTTTATTGGAAGACTGGTAGGATTTAACAGTAATCTGATGCCCTTTTCTCTTCCACAAATTTACTTATAAAAGAAAAAGCATTTATTTATTTTTTCCTTTTCTTTTTCCCTTAGTACTTTTGTTAAACAAAACACATGTTTTTAAACTATTTTTCTATTCTTAACCGTTTTCTATTCTTAATTTATTAAAATAAAATACATATTTTACAAATCAACCTTAATATACGCCTAGTTATCGTGTCACAAGAAGAAGGGCCATTATATTAAAATGTAAAAGGATTTAAAGACTTATCATATGTGTTTGTTATTTGTTCTGTTATCGGTGTTGATCAATTTTTAATGATTTTATTAACTTTTTATTTAAGTAAAATGTGATTATTTGGTTTTGCCTAATAACTTCAGACAGCAGTTTTTTAGAATATATATATATATATATAACTTTATAACTTCAATAAAACATTGATACTACCTAAAATTTTAACTCTGGCTTTGTTTTGACATCAAAATTGATTGTTTAAAATTTGACAATTTTTTTTTTAAAACCAAATTTAAATTATTGAAGTTTATATAATTTGTTTAATAACTTCAGACAGGGTGTAGATGAACAAGAGACATGAAGCAACAGCAATGCAGTTCTACCAAGAAATGCTAAAAATACCAAACAAAGTGTATGTGAGCAATAAAGAATTTTAAAGAAAACGGTGACTGAAATTTCTGAGATATAATGAAGAAAAAGTGCCTAGAGAATTTAATATTCACATGATCTATAGAAGGCAAGAGAAGTTGAAGAAAACAATAAGCTTGATAAGTTTATGTGATTGGATGACAGAACAGAGCCAAAGAGGATTGGTGATGAGCAACAAAAAACAGGAAGTTGTGGTGAGTCATAATCAGGTATATTTCGAAAGCACATAAAAAGAAAAGGGGACTGATGGAAGGACAGCGATAGAGAAGTGGTGACAAGTCAAAAGTTACTTAGAGCAATAGGAAGTTATGGAGAGCCATGATCGCCTATATTCTGAAATGATAGAGTACATAAAAAATTGAATGGATGGAAAAACAGACAAAGAGAAATGGTGAAGGGTAAAAGAGCAACAAAAGGCAGGAAATTGTAGAGAGCTATGATCATCCATGTATTGAAAGAACATGGTACATAAAGAAAATACACAGGCTCAAGGTGAGAGTAATTGTCTTGTGTTATTTTCAGGCCTTTGTAGTCATGCTAACACAAAAAAAATTTAATCCAAACCATTATTTTGAGTCAATTTTTGGTGTTTGGAGGAGAGTTTTTGTAAATTCCACACAAATCTTGACTGGAACCCCAAAGGTGGAGAGATCAAATACCATGCCACCTTCTAGCAATTCCTGCAGCAGAGCTAGTACCAAACTGTATTGGTTTACTGTTTTCTTTGAATTCTACCAGCAACAACCAAGAGAGTGATCATGACGTATAGGCAGCCAAAGATCTCCATAGCTCCTACCCAGATTTGCAGTACTCTGTGCTACACCATTGCCTCCACAGCTGGATAGATTCTAACTTGTTGAGCAATTTTCACTGTTCAGGAATAAAAAGCAGTTAGGTGGAGAAAAAAAAATATATAAAAAGAAACAGAAGTTGTAAAGCAAAATATTTAATGTTATTCCAAATTCTTGTTTGAGTTTTATTTCCACATTATTGATTACATGTTAATTATTTTGCAATTAATTTTTCTTTCAGCTTTGTTTCATTAAATATGAAAAACTAAAAAATATGAAGATGATAAACTGTTTTTAATCTTGATACACATTTATGACAAACTGATAAGATAAATATGTAAACGGAACCTTGGATTGTAAAATAACATGCAACAATAGTTAATAGTTATATAATAATCCATATATATAAAATTTAGTGTCTATATTATTAACAACAACCAGGAATAAACACCAATCTAGAATTGTTACTGAGTTTCACATCAGCCATGATCATCAGAAGATTATAAATGTGTGATGATTAGTTAGACATATTACTAGTTGTTACAGTTGTCTTTGGTTGGTTTCCTATTTTGGCTTTCTTTATATTATGAACATTTCAGTACTGTTGGTTTTTGTTAAAGTAGGTCCTGATTTCTTTTTACAGGCTTTGTATAGTACATAAGGGGTTTGTTTTTATACGTCCCCTTTATATCTTGGTATATTCTCATATAGATTTTGGTGTATATAACTGTATCAGAATATTTAAGTTTCTATAGAAAAAAAAAAAAAAAAAAAAAAAAAAGAAAATTAAAAAATTTCAAAATCCCACAAGGAATTTTCACCCAACTTTTCTAAATGTCAAAAAAAAAAAAAAAAAAAAAAAAAAAAAAATAGCTCTCAACAATACAAAGCATACTGCTGTACAGGATGAAGTCGCTAACCCCATACCTAACTGTACCTATTTTCTTTTTCTTTCAGTACCCAGTGTACCCAAGTGGTCACTCATCTAAGTACTGACCATGCTCAACTAGTTAACTTTGGCAAACAAATGAGAACTGGGGTTTCAGTGTGATCAGACCGTAAGCTATAATTAAAATGTAAAATCTAATTCCATCATTTAAAAAGAATAAAGATTATATTAAAAGTTTTTGGTTTTTTTTCTACACTTAATAGCAGACCTAGAAACAAAACCAGCATCAGAATCAATTTTGAACAGCTTACCTGAGGCATCACTAAAGAAGCAACTTCATCAGTTTCCTGGGTGTTTTCTGGATAAATAGGCTCCCCATGATACAGGTCTACAGAACTACAAATAAAACAGATACAAGTACATTAGAGAATGTTTCATTTGCACCATAATGGATTTAACTTCCTTCTCATATGCCTGTTAACCTAAAAGGATTTTTTTTTTATATATATATATATATATATATATATATATATATATATATCAGCTAGGCTCAATACAAACTATATCGGGTGAATCAATAAAATCTGTCAAATCTTTTACATACTGTGGTGGAGCCATCGCTGAAGCAAGAGAAGGCAAATTGTCTGTACATGTGCTTGTAGACATCATAGACCTGTGATGCTAACTTTGGCAAATCAATGTTGAAGTGACACAGCACATATGTTATTGGCAAGAATGAGGCTAACACAAGCAAGAAATCTTGGTTTCTTGTCAGAGATTGAAGAAGGATAAAAAGAGCTGACTTTTTGTTTCAGGGGCAGTTTGTTCTTTGAGACTGGTGATGCTTATACCCATGTTCCAGAGAAAAAGTTATAGTACTGTTGTTTATGGTGTGCAGGAAATAGTCCCGAGAGAAGCACTGTTCCAGTTTCGACATTAGCTGTCAGCAAAAACAGATTCGAGTGGAAATTTATTTTCCTACCTCAGAATTTTTTCGTTTAAATCTCACAAGTTATTTCAGCATATATCACATTTGATGTCTGCCTGATTCTGGAATTTAATGGCACCACAACTGATATGCCAATTGTCAAGTGGATAGAAAACATGGAGTTGGTCTGCAAACTCTGTGCTATGCACAAGAATTAGTGTGTCCTACCATTGCAACTCTGAGGCAGTGCTCTTGTTGTATACAGACAGCTCAGTAAGGAGCAGAAATCAGACATGGAGCAGATTAAATGGTCCCTCATGACTGCATATGCAATGGACGCATTCAATGCATACAATCAATTCGTGACTAGGTGACTTCACCTGGACAAGACGGTGGACAAATTTCTGGCTGAACTACATTGCTTAATTTGGCTGGTTGAGGGATCATTGTCCAAACGATGGATGACATGTGCATTTGTTTCAAGGCTGCCATAACATGCGAGGCAACTCCTTCTTGCCTCATCCAGGATGGACACCATGACTGATGAGGAATGATGCACAGGCCAAACACATTCGATTGACACCACAATTGGCTTTCTCACCTCTGACCCAAGAGACATTTTCCCAGGGAAATTTTTTCAACTCCCATTATGGCAATTATTGCTCAGGCACAGCTGTTCAATTCATTGTTTTTCATTTTGACATCCTGCAAAATAAATTCATTTAGTTTTAATTCAATCCTTCTCTTGTCAGATCCAGGCATTGGTTGTCACAGGCTATCAACAGCTGATTTGTTCACACAAACTGAGAATCACTTTCTAGCGGTCACCTGGCCCATTGTACATATTTCGATTCTCTGGGAACAATCTTACTATCAGCCTATTTTCATGATATTGGTTAACCCTTTTCATGCTAAATTATTCATCGTTATCTCGTTTTCGGTGATATTTTAAGTTGCCATTTTGATTATTAATTACCAGCAACCCAAATAGTGTTACACATGTACTTGTAGACATCATCGACCTGTGAGGTGAACTTTGGCAAATCAATGTTGAAGTGACACAGCCCATGAATTATTGACGAGAACAAGGCTAACACAAGTGAGACCGAGGAAGGATAAAAAGAGCTGATGTTTTTCTTCGGGGGCAGTTTGTTCTTTGAGACTGGTGAAGGTTATATCAGTGTTCCAGAGAAAGAGAGATAGTACCGTTTTTTTTATGGTGTGCAGGAAACATAGTCCTGAGCAAAGTGTTGTTCCGGTTTCCATGTTAGCTGTCAGTGGGAACAGATTCAAGTGGAAATTTATTTTCCTACCACCCAATTTTGTTTAAACCTCACACATACCTAGGAAGCAAAATAAATTCTACTGAAAAGAATGTGAAAATTTGCATAGATAAATCCTGGAATAAAATGGATGCAATCTGGAAAGCTGATATACCAGACAACTTCAAATGGAGATTCTTTTGAGCAACTGTAGAGGCAGTTTTAATGCATGGTGCCATTGCTTGGATATTAACTAAAACTCTAGAATCTAAGCTGGATGGAACCTACACTTGGATGCTTTTCTTTTTTCCGTATTTCAGTTTCTTAGGATTAATAGACCATTGTCCTTGTATAGACCTATATTTTTTTTGTTAATAATATTTGTTAATTTATTGAATATATATATATGCCTATGAATTTGCATATATGCACCATCATAGCTATCCAATGTTACGTTAAAGTTATAATTATTATCATCATCATTGTTATTATTTGGGCCCTTTTTTGTCCATATTTTTTATTGTGGTATAATCTTGATTTTCATTAGTGTTTAATTATATTTATATCCTCGTTGGGGATATCGAGGTATTGCTTTGCTAAATTTAATGCATTTTTTAGTGTATGTTCATTAATAGATGGTTAAAACTCTTTTATGTCTATTTGTATTAAAGCAGTTTTCTTTGTAACTAATGTTATTGAACCAATTGAAGGTTGCTTTAGTATTTTTCCATTGATTTATGTTTAGTATTCTTCTTAGTTTTTTTCTAATATGTGTTTGCTTATTTTCCAATATTGCTTTTCTGCATATTGATTTGGTTGTGAAGTTGTCTTTATGGTCTTTTAATATAATAAGTATTTCTACTTTTGATAATTGTTTTACCCTATTGACTAATTTTAATTTAGTGGCTATCTTTTAGCTTTTTTGTTTATATCATTTTCTGTTTTGTTATTAGTTGTTTAGTAAAATTTAGTGACTTCTTTGTCGACTAGTTTATTTAATTGTTGGTTTTCATTTTATGGATTATCCTGGATTTATCTGCTTTTTTGGGTTATCATTTTTTGATCCTTTTCAAGTCTTTTTTTGGAACTGGGGTGACCAATAACAGTATCAATCAGCATGGGATTGACTCTGCAATCAACTCACTCTCCTACAACTGTGAAGGCCAAGGTAGATTATAATCTGTGTGTGACAAGCGTCATATCATCTGGTCACTTCTGATCAGGTAACCCAGGATCGACCGGGGTGTGGGGTTATATCATGATGAAACTTGTATATCCATGTTTCATATTTTTTTTATTATTATTTTTTAATCAATTCACCTGAAGCAAGGCAATGACACCTCTGAGACACAGGTGACTACTAGGAAAGAAAGAGAATGAGAAGACTTTAGAAGGAACTAGAAACCTAATCCTAAACAAAAAAAATAGTTCAATAGGCCAGGGAGGAGTGTGAACCGAACAATAGGTGAACATATCTATTCCTATTTATTAATTAAAAAATACTGAGTGGATATCTTCTTTCAGAATACACTGTATTTAATTTCAGGAATTCAAACAAGCCTTGTTCTCTAGAGGAAAAAAAATGTAATGCATATCTTAGTCTTCAGTGAAAATAACATATGCAACAAAAATATTTTTCTCCTATAATTATTTGTTCATAATATACACATTTTTTCAGATCTTTAAGCCTAGCATTTAAGAGTACACATTATACACAGGAACTTTTTTATTGTCATGTGTGTCGACATGTCTAACAGTAAGTTATATCTATGTTCCAAACTAATGTTTAACTGTTTAAATCACTAACCAAAATACCGTATTTATATAAAAAATAATAAGTTATTCATATATTAAGTACCTTTTAGCTTGATTCAGTGCTGTCTATATCAAAGACAGATGTCATGGCAGTTTCATTTTTGTTGTCAGTTTAGTAGACATTTCAGAGATCTTTGATATCATTGTCTCCAAAATGTGCAGGCAATTTCATTGTGATGTCAATCCAATGACAAACTGATAAATTATATTTCTCCATAAAGAGCTGGCACCACTTAACATTAGCCATGAAGTTGTCAAGCATTGTTCCTATCTTCTTTGTGATTCCCAGCACCTTCAGATGCATGTCAGTTGTGCTAATTTGTGTTTCAAAACATAATTGTAAACTATACGAATTCTTATTTTTAACTTATATGAAGCAGATGAAAAGTTAAATGTTAAATTTAGCCATTACTAATTCTAAAGTGTCAGTATGTTTTATATGTGAGAGATATTTTTTAAACATTCTTAGCCCAAAGTTAGTGTAAAAAACATAATCAATAATAAAAAAAATAAATTAATAGATGATTCCAAGCAGCAGCAGGAAGCTTGTCTCCCTTCCTTCCAACTTTCATTTGCCCAATGAACCAAATATAGGCTGGGTTAAAATTTCTCTCTTTAACTTCTGATGTTGTTGGGTCCCCAGTAAAAATGTGATATTTTGGTACATGTTCAAACTGAATGAAGAAGGATGCATTCTTGTGGTGATTATGTCAATTGGTAGAATGAATGGCACTTTAACTTCTAATGCCTGGAGAGTCTATGCCACTTTAACTTCTACGGACTGTAATTAATTTTTACTGGACTTTTCATTGATCAGTTAGCTTGATTTGTTTTTTATGACTTACCAACACTTTGTGTGTTATTTAAAGCCAAAACATATGGATTTTAAGAATAATTTTTTTTATTTTTGCAAGTGAATATTGCATTAAATTTTTTTTTTTTGAGAATTGTTTTTTGATAGATACAAGTCCAACTATTTAACCCATAACTGGAGGAGGAAATGGATTCATACCATTTCAAAAGTTATTTGTGCATAAGTGAATATAACAAACCCAACAGGTATTCAAACTTGACTTGCCAATTTCTTATTCTAAGCTGCTTTTCATTACAGCACCTGCAGATCCTTAGTTTAAAGTTAGAAGTGAATATTATATGCAAGTGTGTATTATAGATGAAGAGTTAAAATTATTCTTTTCATTGGCTAAAAATCAATTAGCATGATGTACCCTTATCAATAAAATAATGGTAAGATTACATGGGCTCAAGCATAGTCAAGTTTTCAAGCTAAAATTGATCCGTGGTTACTCGGTTGATCACTATAATCTTTACTTTTGCAAGTATTAACATACTTGGTATTGTATGGGAAAAAATAACTTCAAAGATAACACAGAAAAAAAACATAAGAAATGCAGAGGTAAAAACAACACCAACAAAAAAAAAAACAGATTTGTTATCTTATCTATGCATGAAAAAGTAATTGTATAATGTTCTCAATCCCCAGGCAATATGTATCCTTTTGGGAGGGGATTAAGGTCATCCCCTAGCACCTGAGCCAGTCTCAAAAGGAAAAGTGCCGAGGGAGTAAATCTAAGCATAAATGTAATTACCAATTACCATGGTAATTGGTAATTGTTCTGATGAACTCTGGTATCTAGACTTTATAAATTTAAGCCCTGTACTAGATTGGCAACAAAGTTTCCTCATTTTACAGCAGAAATGGCTAAATGCAATCATAAGTTCTATACTAACAGTTTTTTCTATCAAATTTCTTGCTTGTGGGACTCTCTTCCAGTTTCTTGCTTTCCAGTAAACATTTATCTTCAAAAATTTAAATGCCATGTCAACCATTATGTTCGTAATTCTTATTCTTTTATTGTCCTCTTTCTTTAATAGTTTTTATCATATTTTCAAACACCCAATAACCCTTGTGTCCTAGTCACTTTATTGCCTTGCTTGGGGTGAAATGATAAAAAAAAAAAAAAAAAAAAAACAGAAAATAATTGAAATCTCTTTTCTCCATGAGGAAACATAAAAACCTCCCCTTAATCCAATAAGAATGAAAATCAAATTTGATTTGAATGTTCTATATATATATTATATCAATTAAATGTTCTACTTCAGTTCCTTATGTGTGGGTTTGCACTTTAAAGTCTACCTTGGGCCACATTTGAGTGGGTGTGCTAATAAATACACATGAAAAAATATTTTGAAGCACAAAACCAAATAAATAATGTAGTCCTTTATTTTTGACAAGGAGTACACAACATGAAAATTTCTCCCACTGGCTTACAGTATGAAAAGGCTGTTTAATGATCTAATCCTTGGACAACCAACATGGAGCTGGACATGGGAAAAAACATGGAAAAACCAAGTTGAGGCCAGCAATCTTGAGAGGTTTTTATGCCTTGATGAGGATTTCTTTTATATAATCATTTCAAGCCAAGCAAGATGATAATGCCACTAAAACACAAGGGGTTACTAGAAGTGAAAGAGAATGAGAAGACAGGACAATAAAAGAACAGGTTTCAGGAAGACAAAAGATGGTGATTGGCATTGAATTTAAATTTTTGATGATTTTAAGTTGCAGGGAAGCAAGAAACCAGAAGAGATTTTCACAGCCAAGAATTACAAGAAAAGAAACTATCAGAATACAACTTATAATTACATCTAGCTATTTTAACAGTAAAATGGTGAGACCTAGCCAATCTAGTAGCATGCTTAAATTAATGTGGTTAAGATAGCAAAAAGAGCTCATTAGTACAATTGCTCATGAGAATGTTTATAGAAAAGACAGAGGAAAGTCACATAAGATTAGTGAGAAAGTGACTGAAGATGCCAAGTCATAATTGATTATATTACAGACCTTTCTTTGAAATTTGTTAAAAATCTTGTGATATATTGCAGGAACACCAGTCTAGATATGCCAGCTGCTGGCTGAAACATTCCAGAAATCCATTGCAATGGTTTTGAGTTTATTTCTTCAATTGCTTCATTTTGAAGAAAAAGAATATCTTGCTCAAAAAATCACCAACAGTTTCTAGAATTTTGGAATCAGTCTTTTTTTCTAGTACATTTAGAACAGTAATAAATAAAATGAATGTGTTTTTTTTTTGTATTGCATGATTCTGTTCAAGTTACCACCATGTATAAATTTACCTCCAAAACTCATTGTTAGGATGCAATGCAGATTGTAACAGGCAAAAATTAATTGGGTATTACAAAGTAGAAATAATGTAATGCACTTCAATCTATAAAAAAAAACCTACAGAAGAAAAACTGATAGAAGAAATAGAGAGGTTTAAAGATAAAAAAGAGAGAAAGAAAATAGTAAAAGAAAAGAAAACAGACAGAGAGAAAATAATAAAACAGAATGAGAGAAAATAGTAAAAAAAATAAAACAGAATGAGAGAAAATAGTAAAAAAAATAAAATAGAAAGAGAGAAAATAGAAAGTAAAATAGAAAGAGAGAAAATAGAAAGTAAAATAGAAAGAGAGAAAATAGAAAGTAAAATAGAAAAAGAGAAAGAGAGAAAATAGAAAGTAAAATAGAAAAGAGAGAAAATAGAAAGTAAAATAGAAAAAGAGAGAAAATAGAAAGAGAAAATAGAAAAAAAGAGAGAAAATAGAAAGTAAAATAGAAAGAGAGAAAATAGAAAGTAAAATAGAAAGAGAGAAAATAGAAAGTAAAATAGAAAGAGAAAATAGAAAGTAAAATAGAAAAGAGAAAATAGAAATAAAATAGAAAGAGAGAAAATAGAAAGTAAAATAGAAAGAGAGAAAATAGAAAGTAAAATAGAAAGAGAGAAAATAGAAAGTAAAATAGAAAGAGAGAAAATAGAAAGTAAAATAGAAAGAGAGAAAATAGAAAGTAAAATAGAAAGAGAGAAAATAGAAAGAGAAAATAGAAAGTAAAAGAGAAAATAGAAAGTAAAATAGAAAGAGAGAAAATAGAAAGTAAAATAGAAAGAGAGAAAATAGAAAGTAAAATAGAAAGAGAGAAAATAGAAAGTAAAAAGAAAAGAGAGAAAAAGAGAGAAAATAGAAAGTAAAATAGAAAGTAAAATAGAAAAAGAGAGTAAAATAGAAAGAGAAAATAGAAAGAGAGAAAATAGAAAGTAAAATAGAAAGAGAAAAAAAAGAAAAGTAAAATAGAAAAAGAGAGTAAAATAGAAAAGAAAAAATAAAAAGAGAGAGAAAATAGTAAAAAAAACAGAGAGAAAATAATAAAAAAAACAGAGAGAAAATAATAAAAAAAACAGAGAGAAAATAATAAAAAAAACAGAGAGAAAATAAAAAAAAAAAACAGAGAAAATAATAAAAAAAACAGAGAGAAAATAATAAAAAAAACAGAGAGAAAATAAAAAAAAAAACAAAATAATAAAAAAACAAAAAAATAATAAAAAAACAGAGAAAATAATAAAAAAAACAGAGAGAAAATAATAAAAAAAACAGAGAGAAAATAATAAAAAAAACAGAGAGAAAATAGTCAAAAAACACAGAAAATAGTAAAAAAAAAAAAAAAAAAAAAAGAAAGAGAGAAAATAGTAAAAAAATAAAATAAAAGACAGCAAATAGCAAAAAAGAAAAGTGAGAGACAGATAAAAAGAAAGCAAAAAAGAGAAAAAAAAACTAAAAGGAAAATATTTTAAAATATAAAAACATTTTTGAGAAAAACTTATTAACAGAAGAAAATGAGGAGGGAGAATATATTTTAAAATAGATTTTTTACAGAAATATTACCAACAGCGAAAATACACTCCCTACAAAATTATTGAGATTGTCAAAACACGCTAACAATTTTTTTTCTTTTCATATAAAACTTAGTGAAGAATCTTCTGTGACCTGTATCATATAAACCATATGATCACTATAACACTGAGATTAATTTGTTTTTCAAGTAATGAACTCAACAATTTAGTGTACTCTTTAGAGAACCCCTGTCAAGTTTAAGTATCAGACAACATATTCAGGAATTATCTAAAGTCCAACACTGTAGGCTACAAAGCAATTTATACCAACTGAAGCATAACAATACTGAATGCATAATGGCTAACAGTGAACTATATTGTCAAATGATATAAACTCGGAGTTGACTAAATATTCAATGACGTAAGTTGGTGTCAACAAACTTTTCATCTTATTTTTCAACCCACAGTGAATACCTAAAACTGCAGATGGTACAGAACCTGATAAGTACTGCCCCCCATAACTTACATACTGATAGTAAAGTTCAATTTACAAATTAGGCACAATAACAAATTGCTATTTCCATGGCAGAAGAAATACATTTCTTAGTAACACTAGTCTAGACCTTTGTACCTAGGACCTGTTATGCTACGTACACAGAGCTGACTCAACCTCATTCCTGTCATATGCCATTGGTGAGGAAGAAGTTCCACTCAGACAGCTTCTTCCCCCCCCCAGTAATGTTGCATTATAGAATGGACTCCTGAGAGGATGCTTCCCCAATTACTACAATCTTAACCTCTCAAGTTGAGGGTCAACTGTTATCTATCCTACATATCCTCAGAATATGCACCTCTTTCTCCTTCCCTGTAGGCCTTTACAACAACCTCATTTAGTAATCTTCTACCTTAAGTGGCTCGAGTCTTGAATTGTATGAATAATTGAAAAAAAAAAAACAAAAAAAAAACAATAAATAAGACAATTATAATATCTTATAATTCAGCTTGTCCCTCCCTTTGTTCCTTAGTTATCACTTATGTTACATCCTGCCAATACTCCATAAATAATGGACTATTCCATTTTGATAAGGTGGAAAGATGGAAAAGACATATCAGAGATGCTACTTGGTTTCAGTAAGCAAAGGAAAGGAAAGAGAAGAGAGAGGTGGTGATCACACTCATGTTTTTAACGTATGTTTCAGTGAAATGGAAAAAGGTGTCAATTTTAAATCTTTTCATTTGTACCTCCTTACTTCTTAACAATGACCAGCATTCATATCTGTGATTGTTATTGAAATATTTTGTTAAAGTTGTTAAGCTCAAATATTTAACAATGTGATAGGGGAAGTTCTATGGATATTTTATTGTAGAACTCAGCATGGACTTATTCTATCATTAAATTAAAAGTCATCAGAAAATTCAAATAGGAAAACAGTGAAATTTTCATGGATATTTCTAGTACTCTAATAAAAGCTAGTTATATGAGGAATAACAGATTCTTTCTTCCCCAAAATGAAACTATGAATAAGGTTGTCCACTCTACAGTTGTCTCGATCAAGATTTCTCAACATGGGCCATATGGCCTCATTGGAAGCCATGAGATGTTTTCAGGGGAGTATTTTGTAATTAATAATTATTTAAAATAAAATATTAAATTTATTATTAAGTTAAATATCAAATTAATCTAAACCATTTTGATAACATAAATATTTATTGTAATTTTTTCATTTGATCTATGAAAAATGGCTGTTTTTATTCTTCAATTTCTTAAAATTTAAAACTCATAATTTAAAGTTTAAATTAAGGTACATTTTCAACAACTTATCTCTCAATCTTGAAAAACTAAATGTCCTGAACAAAGTGTTCCAAGGAAATGAGTCCACCCTGCTTGCCTGCAAGGAGACAATTAACACATTTAATGGGAAGCTAAAGCTGTTCTGGGTTGAACTTTGGGAGACAGGAGTTTGCAGTGTTTCCTTCCTTAGCAAATATATCCACAGAGCTGCTTGATAATGACTTAGCAGTGTATGCTGATCATTTGAAGCAGTTGCATAATGATATGAAAACTCGCTTCTCTGATCTACTCCAAATGACAGTGCTACATTGGTTTGTGGATCCTTTCATTGCTGATGTATTTGAAGTTGATATCACCTTACAAGAAAGTTTCATTGAACTTCAGAATAACACAGCAGCTCAAGCAAGGTTCAAGCGTGGAGAATACCAGAAACTGTGGATGAATGAAGACATGCATAAGAATTACCAATTACTCTGGAAAGATGTGAAGTTGTTCTTACTTTTACCACATTTTACTTGATTGAGTCTGGTTTCAGTCGGATGATGCATCTGCTGTCAAAGACATGAAATTGCCTTGATGTAGAAAAAAAAAGTGATTTACATCTCTCTCTGATGGCTTTCAAACCAAACATTGACTATTTGGCAGCCCTGCATCAGTCACAGGGATTCCATTGAAACCATACAAGATAAAGCTGATGGTACATGTACTTTTTGTTTTGTAAATAAACGAGTTTATTCAAATAATATTATTCTTTGATTTACAACTGGAGTTAGTGTTTTAATGTCATAGTACTATCCAAACTACAACCTTTAATATACCTACTTCCCGAGATGCATTAAGTTGAGGGACGGGGCAGGAGGGAGTAAGGGTGATAAGAACTCTAGTTGGCATGAGGAGAGCCATAAAGAACTCGCATTGGATTGAAGGGGTCCACAACCAGAATAAGGTTGAGAAACATTGGTCTAGATCATAATATCCTTTGTATCCTGTTACAAATGTTTCTTACATTGACATAAAGCAAACAATATTATTGCCAATATTCAGAATCTACCAAACTTTCATCCTTAAAACGCATGAGGATAGTTATGTATTTTTAAACTACAATTCTCCATGATTTTCTATCGTACATTCACATCTGCTCGATGTGTATCCGAATGTAAACAAATGATGTCACACATTATGAAATGGACAAAGTCCGACAATTATTTTAAGACATTTTTTTATGTTTATACTGTGTCCATTTCATAATGTGTGACATCATTTGTTTACATTTGAATAAACATTGAGCAGATATGAATGTACGAGAAAAAATCATAGAGAATTGTAGTTTAAAAACAGTAAAATTGACCTTGCTAACCGAAACGCTCCTCTGTGGTTCAATCAGTAAAAGCATGTCAGGCTATATGACAGTTCTGTATAGTTACGTATGCAAATTATTAGCTTCCAGAAGGAAAGAGAGTTCCATAAGATTTATACTAAGCTTTTCTAGTAATTCTTAGTAACTAATCAACTAACAGAAAATTTCAAGATGAACATCATCATCATATTAAGCCCATTTCAGTTGCATGCTTTCAGGCTGATGGAATTTCATTCTTTTTGGCACCTCCATTACCAGTACAGCCATTTTTTCATTACAAGGCAAGCAGCGTTTATACAAAGACTTATAATCTTTGGTAGATTTATACATTTTTATACTTGAAAAATTTTTTAACTTTAAATTTTTTTAAGACAGATATATTGTCAAAATATTGTTTAACATTGTCAGACTTTTTTTCTTTCTTAAATCACGCTCTTAAGTGTTGAAAAATATTGGCAAAGTTACATCAATCATTTTATTTGTAAACCTTATTTTATAATTATAAATGTTAAGAGATTTATGATATTTCCAGCAATATCACATTGAAACACCAGTTCTAATGTGATGTTAAGTAATGTTGAGCCTGATTAGTACCTAGATGGGTGACGATGTGGGAATATCAGGTGACGTAAGCTTGGATCTGTGAGTGGTCTAACAGATAATGCTTGCAGTTGTTAATCAGTGAGCCAAGTTCCAGTTCCGGTTGGGTTCATTATATTCACTTAGATACAAATACCCTTTGGAAAGGTATGAATTCACCACTTCTCACCACAGCTATGGTAAAATTAGTAAGTTGGTTGATTTTGTTTAGCAGTATATCAACCTCTATGGGTTATTTAAATATTTTGAATGCAACTGTATGCCTTACTATAAATATGTATTGTTGGTACTTTTTATATAAAAATGTATTGCAGGTATTTTTATACTTTTATAGGGTTTTGTTTGGGGGTTAATTATTTGCTCAAAGCTAGGACCCTAACAGGTGCTAGGGTTAGGTTGGACCTAGGATGGACAGCAATTAAGAGGTGGTTCCAAAACCTCCAATCTCCTGATTGGAGGTCTTGCTACTAGATGATGTATTTATTGTCATACCCAGGACTAATAAATTAGTTAGACATATCACTAAATTATTATCTAAAAAAAAATAAAAATAAAAATAAAATATTCATTCTTACAATCTAAAAATATTTTCTGCCTTTAAATAACCTACAAAGTGTTGATAAGCTGTCGATGAATGAAAGAATAAATCCATATTTTCAGCACTTAAAAATTTTACCAATTCCAAATCATTAAAACCTTATGAAAAGGTTCAAATTAAAATATAACTTTTCACCTTTACTGTAGAACTTACCATCCTTTCTCCAGGTAGAGGATTTTGATGTTCTCCACAAAGGCATGGTTGAATGAATCCTGAAAGAAAAGAAAGGAATATTAAAGTACAAACAAAACAACTACTATTATCTTTATTTGTGCATAATACAAGAAATTTTGAATGAAAATTGAAGGCAAAAAAGTAGGGACCATATATTAGTGCACATTTAAAAACAAAAAAACAAAAAAAACTTCTTTCAAACAGCAAGATTGCAAATACATTCAGAAAGCACAACAGGTAATATAACACAAAGTAGGCAGGTGTTGATAACATTTGTTTACAAAAGTTATTTGATATACCCTGGCAATATTTGTTCTTTGGGAATCAGCGTTGATAAAGTTTGTTTATATTTTGATTATTTTTTTTTTTAAATATTTTTTCTTCATTCTTAATGAAAGACAGTTATTTTTATAGTTTATTAATATATAAAAACATAAAAAAGAAAAAGTATGATAGATTAATTAAGACATTAAAATGTATTAACAGGTATATCTAGTCATCACCTTTCCTTTAAATAAATTTTGAAAACCAAAATTTTGAAACCAAATTTTAAGAAACACACAGTGGTTAAAAATTCAGTTCTTTTATTCTTTAATATTATGAAAAATTAAATATTTTATTTAAAAATTTGTACAACATTGAAATTTTAAATGGATAATATAATACCTTTCAAAGAAAATTTACATAGGGATGGCCATACTTTGGAGTTATATTCAAGGATGTAATTTATTCCCTGTTTTAGCTTAAGAAATACATGGTTGTATTATACTAAAATCATATTTTATACAAGAAAATACAGTAAGCAAGGTTGCAAATCATTGAAGGGGAATTAAAGCTGTTACTTGCATTCTGTTCATTGTTCAACAAATTATATTCTTTGCTAAACTCCTGGAGAGCAACACTGTGCCTTCTTGGGCTCACATTTTCCACTGACTTGAAGTGGAAAGATTATATTGAATCAATTGCTAGGTCTGATGCTAGGAAAGTTGGTTCAATATGTTGTGCCAGACAAATTTTCATATCAAAATTGACCTTCTACATTCTACTATTCTATTGAATACTGCTACCATATCTGATCTGGTGCTCATAGTATATATCTCAAGATTCTTGACAAAATTCAAAGAAGGATTTGCAATATAATTGATCCTGACCTGGCATCTCAACTTCAGTCACTTTCTCATTGTGATGTGGTTTCCCTCTAACTTTTCTCAAAAATATTTTAATTTCAACTGTTCTGATGACTCTTTCTCCTTAGTACCTTGACTACATTAATTTAAATGTGCTACAAGATTAGCAACTAGGCTTAATTGTTTTACTGTTGAACTAGTCAGATGCAACTGTCTGTTCTATTCTAATAGTTTCTTTTCTTGCACTTCTCACCAATGGAACTTATTTTCAATTTCTTACTTCCCTGCCACTCTCCAAGCCCTCTCTCCCTCCCTCATTACATGACCTCAAAACTTCAACTCTCTCCTCATGTTGTTAAGTATAAGTTTCCTTTTCTATTTTCTCTAGAATTTTGTGGTTGCTCACATGTTCAATCCATGGTATCCTTATCATCCTTCTGTAGAACCACATTTCTGTTGCTTCAAGTGTCTTTTTCATCTTTGACAGATATCATGTAACAGTTTAGTACTTTTTTCCTTGCTTCTAGCAAAGTTTTCCTATTTTTTAGTACTCTGCTTAGCTTTTGGAATGCATCTTTGGCTATCCCAATGCACCTTCAGATTTCAGCGTCACACTTCCTGTCCTCTGTTAAAACACTTCCCAGATATTTAAATTTAAGCATTTGTCTGATTTTAGTATATCAGATTTGCAATTAAATACCACGTTCCTCGTTCCAGTATCTTTGACGAACTTGCATTTCCAGTTTGATTCTGATGCATGCTCTATTTATCAGAATTCAGATGATAATTTTCATTATATGGCTCATCAGGCTGATTGTCCAATGGAGTTCATATCTGTGTGCACCTAGTTTCTTATGCAGTGCTACAAAAATAGGTGTATTTAGGTCTTCTAGTATATCACCACTGTTATTATTTCTGTAATCTTGCCAAAAATCATCTAAGGCTGCCAGCATCTCTATTACAATTCTGTCTGGACCTGCTGTTTTGTTTCTGTTTAATTTGGCCAATGCAGATTCCACTCCAGATTTGGAAGAGTTCTCAGATATATTCAATTTCATCTCTAAAGTATTTTTTCTTTCTCTAATATCAGCATAATGTCCTTGGATTTAATGCATCCTGTTGATAAGTATGTCTTTTGTCCTGTTAGTTCACTTATTTTTTTTGTGCAAATCTGTTTATTTGTAAAACTATTCAACTTCTTCTGTACTTTGTGCTGTTGGCGCATAATTATGATGGATATGATGAAAGTCTTTTCATTGAATTTAATGACAAGAATTCTTTCAGATAGGTGACAGTATCCCAGAACATATTTCTTCATGATTGATCAATCCTACTCCTCTTTCATTTTCTCTTTCTCTGTGTGTATGGTCTTGTGTTTTTTAGTGACAAAATCTCCATTGCTTCACATACACCTAAAATATTGATATTTAACCTGCCCATTTCCTGTTTTATATTTTCTAACTGTCCACAGTAATTTAATGTTCTAAAAATCCTGAAAATTAATTAGTCAGACATGTATCAGTAAATTATTATTATTGTGAAAAAATTCTTACAATTTAAAAATATTTTCTGGTTTTAATTACCTGCAAAAGGTTGATAAGCCATAAAAAAACAAATCAATCATAATAAGCCTGATGACTTATAGTTTTGTTTTGAGTTTTGACAAGCACTGAAAAAATTTTTCCATGTTTGGAAATGGCAGAATTATCATCCAGGGTGGCTACACTTTAGTTATTGTTAAACTGAACTTTGACACCACTCAAATACAAAGAGATGTTAGAACACAGCTTGATCCCAAAACTTCCTATAAATAAGGAGAATGGAAAAAGTTGATCTTTCAGCAAGACAATGTGAGTAGTGTAGCAATACGATTTCTCACACATCCTTAGGAGATACATAGATCCTTTTAAGTCAATTTAATGACCTGGGTTTCTCAGGAATCTTGACTCCAGTCCATCTTTGAGTAAATTTAATAGACCAGGATTTTTCAGGAATCTTGTCTCTATCCCACCATTGAATCATCAAACAAAATTTTGTTAGTGTTTTTAGAGTGCCATAAAAGTATGTTCCTTTGAAAAACCTGTCTGGGTCATCCCCCTTTCTGGTTGGTAGAAAAGTGGATGGAAAGGGGTGGTGGGTCTACTACCTACATACAATGAGCAGTGAGGGAAACAACTGTCAGTCAATGAAATGGCCAGACTGGAACTTAGATAAAAGAAGTTCACTTTCTCATGGCAGAAGGAAGACATTGCAGATTAAGTGAGAAATGGTATTTGATATTTTGCTACTTCCCAACCCAACAAGTGTCTTGAAAAGCATTTGTCATTTATTTCTTTGTTGATGTAGATCACTATCATAATCAAAACGAATCTGTGGAACATGGCGAATGCTGGTGTATTTGCTGACTTTGGATGTCATTACAGCTCATGCAGTGGCATGCAGAAATGTATTATCACAGTAGCTCTTACATGAATTAAATGTTTTGTTCCTCCCTCGGTAATCCCCAAACTGCAATCCCATAGGTAATGATTGGAGAATGATAACCTATCTACATTGGTTATACCAAATATTTCACTCTTGAGGATCTGTAACGGGCTATTATAAATATATAGGGAAAAAAAACACTTGGTCTACACTCACTAAATTTGCAAATTTGGTAATGGATCCAGCTATTTAGGTTTTAAATGTAGAAATTGTAGCTGTAACATTCACATTTTGCTAAATAATGTTAATAAAAATTACTGACTTTTGTTATGTTTTATAATTAGTGGAAATGAAAAAAAATGTTTCCTAAAATGAAGAATAAATATAATTTGTCATTACTCTAAACTATTTTAGTAGATACCTATTGTCTGAGTAGACACAGTGTATTTAAAAAAAAAAAAATACAAAAAAAAAAAAAAAAGTGAGAATTATATCTATCAGTCAGCACATTCAAGTGACTTGATAAAGAAAATGTGTAGACTGACAGACATAATTCACACTGTGTAAAATACCAAGAAGTGTATAGTCAAACATAGGTATCCACTATAATAACGCTTAAAGCAATGGTTCTCAACCAGGATACATATGAATCCCTGGGGCCAGGTAACATTATTGGAGTTTGACACAAAAATATACCAAATTGAAGGGAATATTTTAGAGTTCCAAGGAGTAATTTCACTTCATAACTGTTGTTACAACTAAGAATCAGAATTTCTACAGTAATCTACACAATATTAAAATACTAAAAATAGAAAAGCAACTCTAAAACTAGCAGAAAACGAGATCAAGCGATGTAAGTTAGTTTCACTGTCATTGTATAGGATGTTTTGATTGTAAAAGTTGAATAAAAACTGAGGATATATAAAGGAAGGATTATATACAGGGTGCGATGGGTAAATTATCGACATTTTATATTTTTAATTTCACGCATGTGCATTGTTTGTTTTTTGATTTTGTTTACTGTGCAATATAGTAAGGTCAGTTGGGTACTGTCTGTGAGAAAAAGAGCATTATGATGCAATTCACTCTGCCAGAAATTTGGAAATGCCATGCTGTACCAGAAGCTCCAATATGAATATTTCAGAGCCTTTGAGTGTTTATCTGAGGACAGTGCAGAGGATTCAGAAAGAGTTGGATGAGTCTAATGATGATTATGAAGGTACGGCAGATTGGAAAATTCACTCTAATCATTCAGATAAGAAAGAACTCCCAAATTTGTGGCGAGGGTCTCAAACACAATATCAAATACCTTGAGGTAGATTTGCCCTGGGTCAAAAGAGTGGCTGCTGGAAGACACTATGTCTAGCAACAAGACACTGCACCATGCTACAGACGCATGAGAACCAGTCATGGCTGTCAGACAATTTCTGCAACCACATCACCCCTTACATCTGGTCACCTAACTCCCTAAACTGCAACCCCCCTTGATTATTATATGTGGGGCACAGTTGGGTAAGAGACCAACAAAACTTTTAAACACCAAAGATGAACTGAAGGCAAGGATTCACTAACTTAAACAAGAAGACCATTCAGAAGAGTTGCAGGAGATTCAGAAGTTATCTGGAGGCCATTTTTTTAATAAATTTACTCTTTAGTATTTCAAGATATTTTTTGTAATTTTGGTAATATACCTGTTAAAATGAGATGGCAGTGTTATTTTCATTTTTGTGCAATTTAGATGACATTTTATCCATCGCACTCTGTATATAAAGGAAAATTATATAAATTTATAAGTTAATTATTATACAAATTAATCTAATATATTAATAAAATATAATTTTTTAACTTATTAATTAAGCACATTTTAAAATGGTTTATGAGTTATTTTACTAGTGTATATAAATGTTCAGCAGAATTTAGTTGTTAAATAAAAGTTTGTTTTTTTTGTTAAATAAGTTTTACTTTAAAATAAAGCATATGCATTTACTATTTCTATAATACAATTCCTAAATTTTCTATTAGTAAAAATAAAATCAGCTTATTTTTTGTTTTTATTGAATGGTTATGGGGCTCCACCATAAAAAAAAAAAATAGCAGTAAAAGTGGTCCAGGGGTTAAAAGATTGAGAACCACTGGGTTAGAGTAATGAGAAATGTCAGATTAAAAATAAAATCCATTAATTTCTAGATATTATAATTTAGAACTATGTAGAAAATACTTATAAAAATCTGAACTCACTTTTAAATGGTTTAAAAAAATTTATATATATATATATATATATATATATATATATATATATATATATAAATAAATAAACTGTGTCTTTAAAACCCAGTAATTTTAAAAGTTACTCCAAAATTCACTTGAGGATGAAATGGAACTAATGTCTTTAATTTAATTACAAAATTAAATCCGGGGCTTTTAGCTTCCATTTTTGAAACATGGTTAGAACTGTGTAGCGAAAAAAAAAAAATTTTAAATCAATTAATTTATAATATTAATGCTCTGTAAATTTACATTGAGCACTAGTTTGTAAAAATAAGAATATCTATAAGAACACCGGATTATATATCTTACTGTTCTTTCTTTTTATTTATATACATATATATATATATATATATATATATATATATATATATATATATATGGGCATGTGTCCGAGTGGTTAGAACGTGTGTGTGTGTGTGTGTGTGTGTGTGTGTGTGTGTGTGTGTCTGTGTAAATATTCTCAGAGCGAGCATATCTGCAGAAGATACACATTGAATAAAAACAGACGAGTAGAAATATACTTAGTTGATGTGTTTTGTCTTCTGAGGGACTTTATTATTCATTGCCTTGATAAAGTCCGTCAGAGGACAAAATTATCTCAGCTAAGATATATATTCAATGATTTGACAATCCACATATAGTGCTATTTAAACAATTTACATTCTTCATACTGTTGTCCTCATCTTTATTGCCATAGTAACAACGTTTCAAACTTTTCAAGTGATTGGAATTTTGAACAGAAACCTTTAGTTTGTGCACCGGAGTAGTTTGTTCTAGTTCCACATGACATGCCTATTCCAGATGTCTCAGTTATCTCCCTTTAATTCAATTCTCCAAGTTTTTGTTCACCACTGCAGTATCCAGGTATTGAACTCACAACTTCTTGGGTGAAGTCACCAATGCTTTTATCGATTGGGCCATGTATTCTTAAAATTTCTGCATCAAGAAGTTAATACAAGTTTGTTGATAAAAGAATTTATGTGACCTCATAGCCATGTTTTTCTTTCTATTTTTTCATGTTAACTGTTGCCTGTTTCTTATTCTTTAAAGTTTAATCTTGATCATGAGAAACTAATAATGTTACTCAACAATAAGTTATGGATATTGGGCCTAAGGTGTGTCTGCTTTTGTTCAAGTGTATCATGTAGAAGACTATTTTAAATTTTAATTTTTGTGTAGTCACATGTGTTTGTATATGGGGGTAGAGAAATAATGTTTTCCTTTATTTACATTTTTGCAATAGGAGTGGAATATAATTTATATAGACGTGGTCTCTCTCACACATACACATTCATTCATACATACATACATACATACATACATATATATATATATATATATATATATATATATATATATACACACACACACTAATATATATATATACACATATATACTCACATATGTATATATACACACACATATATATATATATATATATATATATATATATACACATACATGTAGAACACACACATATATATATACACATGTGTAGACACACAAACATATATATACACTCAAACATGCACATATATACATACACTATATATATATATATATATATATATATATATATATATACGCACACATTCTCTCATACATGCACATATATATATATATATATACACACATACATGCATATATACACACACACACACATACACATATATATATATATATATATATATATATATATACACACATATATGTTGATTGCCCCATCTTCATAGATCACTGCCGTCTTGCCCATCAACTCCTACATTCAATCTAAATCATTGTTTCCTGTCGAATGACTTCGGAGGTGGCTCTTCAAACCAGCAGCTGATTTGCAAGGCCTATAGCATAGATGATAGATGTGCTCCAGAGTCTTCACAGTGTTAAGCGAATGTTGCTGTGGTAGGTCATTCTTGTGCACCACCATATGCCTCTCCAATCCAGATATTGATTTACACACTTCCCTGCACATATATACATACATACATATAATATGCACACACATATATATATATATATATATATATATATATATATATATACACACACACACACAAAAATACATATATACAAACAAACCCACACATACATAAACACACACACACATACATATACAAACAAACCCACACACATACATAAACACACACACACATACATATACAAACAAACCCACACATACATAAACACACACACACATACATATACAAACAAACCCACACACATACATAAACACACACACACATACATACATATATATACAAACAAACCCACACACATACATAAACACACACACACACACACACACACACACACACACACATACATATATATACAAACAAACCCACACACACACACACATACATATATATATACAAACAAACCCACACACACATATATATATTAAATATATGTATTGTACAAGGTAATTACAAGTACAGTTTGCTTTAAAAACATTATCTTCCAAAAATATCTTGGTCAACAAATTTTTCAGATCGGGCAATAGATAGATAATTCCTACACAATACAAATTTTTTTTTGTTTTTTTTTCTCCAGATAATTTCCTGAAGCTTAATTTTTATTCTTTATATTTTGAAATTAGATAAAATTTACAGGAATATATTTCCTTCTCTTACATATTAAAGTCCATTAATTCACAAAATATTTACTTTACCTTGAGCAAAACACAATCTGCTTCAACCAGAGGACACTGAGACTTTTTTAAATATATTTCATACTTTGGTCGCCAATGAAACAGCAGTAACACGAGACCAAAGGTGATAAACACTAAAAAATAAAACAGGACCTTCTTGCAGGTGTTGTCTTTGTAGCCTATGCATTCCTGAAAAATACAATAAATAAAACTAATTTTTAATTCTCAACATCAATGACTTTATTACAAACTGTTTTTAAAAACTAAAACAAAATCTAAAATCAAAGGCACAATCAGAATTAACAATTTGGAAATTATCATAAAAATAAGGATATATAATGTTCTTTTCAAGCATTATGTCATCAACATTGAGCCAGAGTAGCTCAGAAGTTACAACATAGAACTGAGGGCAGTGAGATTGAATTCTGGTCAAATAAAAATCATGGGACACAAAATTGAAAAAGATTTGAAACCAAGTATTTACATCTATCTACAAATTAAATTTATTAAATGGGTAGGAGAATAGCCATATTGAGAATTTCAATGTTACAATGGCTTCTAAATGATGTACTTAGCAATTATTCAATAAACCTTCTTGAGAGAAGCCAAAAAAAAAAAAAAAAAAAAAATGGAGGACTTGCAAACAAGGTTTTGAATGATTTGTTTTTTGTTTTTTTTTTTACAGTTAATCAATCCTTTGTGGATTATCTAACGCCAAAACATTTTAGATTCTAAGAATTTTTCTTTTTTTTAATGAGTAAATATTGCAGCAATAATTTTTGAGAATAACAATAATAATTTTATTTAACCCATAACTGACCAAGTAAAAAAAATTTTTTTTTTATGTCTTATCAACCTTTTGTAGGTTAATTAAAGCCGAAACATATTTTGAAATACTAAGAATAATAGTTACTTTTTTTTTTTTTTTTCCTGAGTGAATATTGTATTAACAATTTCTTGGAGATAATAAATTTTCAGGTACAAGTTTTACTATTTTTACCCATAGATAGGAAGGAGAAAAGGTGGATTTATATCTTCCCCAAAATATTTGTGCATAAGTAAATGTAATGAACCTGACTGGAATTCAAACACTGCTTTCTAACTTCTTATTCTGATCCCTTATCCATTACACCACTCACATGTCCAAGTTTACAGCACCTGGTATTCCAAAGCAGTCACCCATCTAGGTACTGACCAGGTTTGATGTTGCTTAACTTTAGTGATTGTATGAGAACTAGTGTTTTAATGTTATATGGCAGTAAGCCCTAAGAAAACAAGAAGAAAAGCAAACATTATGAGCATCTAATGGGCACAGCCATATCCAAAACAGTGCAGAAAGAAATTTGGCACAATATTAAATAGATTTATAAAATTATAATAATTTTAAAAAGGGAATAAAACAAAATGTTGACATTTATTACTAAATAATTAAAAATTAAAGCAATTAATAAAAACTGAATACTAGTAAATAAAAGTGAACATTTTAAATTCGGATGGAAATAAGTTTTGTCTTTTTATAAAAGTTTTCACTACTTAATAAACAGTAAATTGAAATTGTGGTTTCTGTTGTCTGGTGTAGTTCTTTCTTTGTGATTCTTAAGACCAGTTAACACTGTTCAGGAAAGGATGGTCCTCACTGAGGCCTACACACTTCATTCAAAGTCATTTCTAACCATTGATTTCAGATTACGGTTGGATACAACCAACAGTTTAGATATTTCTGAATAAGTCTGGCATCATGCTTGACATCCAAATAAAATTGTTGATGTGACTAGACTTTTTTTTTTCTTTTAAATCATTTCAGCTCAAGCACAGCAATAAAACCACTAGGACACAAGGGGTTACTGAGTGTTAGAGAATGAGAAAAAATACTATTAAGGAGAGAGGACAATAAAAGAACAAGAATTAAGACAGAAGATAACGAATGACATTGCATTTAAATTTTTGAAGATCAAAGTTGACTGGGAAGTAAGAATCTGGAAAAGGGTTCCACAAGCAAGAAGTGCAACAGAAGAAACTGTTAGCATAGAACTTACAGTTACATCTGGCCATTTCAACTATAAAATGATGAGACTTTGCCACCAATCTAATACTGCATTTAAATTCATAAAGTCTAGGTACCATAGAGGAAAGTTATATTTATCAGTATTTAAAAGAAATGTGGCACAAGGCAAAAAAAAGCTGGAAGTGTGGTCTTCATCTATCTTATAATTAAACTTTGCTAGCCATGATTACTGACCCAAACATACCACAGTATTCCTTACACTAAAACAACAGATTCTACCTCACCATTCTTACTACAGCCACCATAATACCTCAGAGTCTCTATGAGGAAAGTTCATCAGAATAATTACCATGAAAGTATTTATAGAATAGATACAGGGGAGCTAAGTTACAGTGGTGGTAAAGAGACTGAAACCAAGATGCCAGGTCAGAACCAATAACAATGGATTTTATCAAGAATTTCTAAATATATAGCAGGAGCACCAGTTTAGATGTGGCAGCAATATTCAAAGCAAGTGCGAATGGTAAATGACTTATAAATATGCAAGATATGTTTATGCATCTCTAACAAGTTAAAGATGATTACATAAATATCTACATGTGAAAATAATAAATCCATTAGGGATATAGACAGTGTAATATACACTTTAAAACCTTATAAGTTACAAAATTATCATTTCAGACTAAGATTTTTACCAGGTTTTACCAATGTTTAAAACTTTAAAATCATTTTTGGAACATCTCCCAGCCTTTCAGAAAAAGAAATAAAAAAAAAACAAAACAAATGAAACACAACCAAAATTTTACATTTAATACTCCTACTCTTTCAGTATTGTTTACCTTAATTCCTTACCATTGAAAATCAATGTCTATAGTGAAATGATTAAAATGCACTTACATTCATTTTAATAAAGAATCTAGTCATGATCTACCAAGTCATCAATAATGGAAGCAATTGATTGTTGCTTGTATATTTTGCCTGTGTTATATTGGCAGAAGTGAAAACTTGGTCATCAGTAGATTTGTAAGCATTAGCTTGCCATATATGAAATCACTTTACCTAATAAAAAATAGATACCAAGTGAATGACTATTAGATTTCTTGGTATCATGAGTTTACATCAGTTAGTGATATGAAAGAACTAAAATTGGGATCCAACACCATTAAAAGCCAAAAGCTATTTTGGCCTTAAAAAAAAAAAAAAACAGCAAATTCAACGAAGTTCATCCTGCAGTTTAACTACCCATAATAGAAGTTGAAAAAACAGAGCTTTTGTACAGCCTGTGTAGATTTGTTTTTTTTAATCAATTCACTTGAAGCAAGGTGATAATGCCACTAAGATGCAAGGAGCTACTGGAAGTATAAGAGAAGGAAAAGACTAGAAAGAACTGGAAACCCAATTCTAAACAAGAAACGAGGGATAAACCAAATGATAGGTGAACCTATGTTCAAAACCAAATGATAGGTGAACCTATGTTCAAAACCAAATGATAGGTGAACCTATGTTCAAAACCAAATGATAGGTGAACCTATGTTCAAAACCAAATGATAGGTGAACCTATGTACTCATATTGAAAAAAATAAATATATAGTAAAAATTTCAGAGTTTAGGCAGAAATGTTAGAAATATAGAATTGAAATAGAATTTAGAAGGAACCATAAATCCAATACATTCTCCCTTTGTGCCTGACAGCCTGTGGTTGATGCTCTGCAAGTTTGTTTTTTTATTTATTTATTTGGCTCCATCGATCTCAAAAATCACCGCTTTTCACAACGTCAAATCTATTACTACATTAAATCATTTATATTAATATTTAAAATTAATATTATTATTTATTATTAATATAATAAATTATAATCATTATATAATTTCCCTTTGAAGAAATATAGTTTTAAGGTATGCTATATTTATGAAATAAAGTGCTTAATATCAGAGAGCGCATATGTAAATAAAAGTGATCATTGAAGTCAACACTCAGACAGGCTGTTTCATGCTAGGAGCAATCATCAGGCAACCTGACGATTGTGTCTAACAGGAATCAGCCTATTGCTTCTAAGCGTTGATTTCAATGTTCACACACACACATTATATATATATATATATATATATATATATATATATATATATATATATATATATATATATATATATATGTGTGTGTGTGTGTGTGTGTGTGTGTATGTATGTATATAAATAAAATCCTTCCTTTATATCTTCTCAGTTTTATTTAACTTTTGCAATCAAAAGATCCAATAGAGTAAAAGGGATGCTAAGTCTTATTTTCTGCTAGTTTTAAAATTATTTTTAGTACTTTAATATGGCATAGGTTACTGTAGAAATTCCAATTCTCAGTTGTGAAGTGAAATTGCTCTATGGACCACTAAAATATTACTGTGGATCACCAATTTGGTATTTTTATGTGGTACCCCCAGTAATTTTGCATGTACCCCCAAGGGTCCATATGGACCCTGGTTGAGAAACATTGGTCTAAATGGTCATTTCTCAGCTGAAAATCAAGTCCAATATTTTACTGTCTAAAGAAATCAATATCAGAAGATCAATGACACCCACACAATCCAAGTATTGACTTACTTGCTCAGCCTCACCTCACCTAAATCAAAGTTCAGCTCTTATTACAACCTACATTACAATATGCTACCAAGAGAAGCAAATACCCAAAATCAGAAAAGCATTCTTATATAAAAAAAATAAAGATTTAAATTACTAGTTTATATAAATACAGCCAGTGAATCCATAAATTCAACAGATGTTGTTGAGGGCTAATTTAATCTATAGTAGACATTTTATATATATATATATATATATATATATATATATATATATATATATATTTGTTCCTCACCATTTAGTTCTGTTATCCTAGATCAAGCAGTGTTTTATTACCACCAGCACTCTCTGTGCATTGATATATGTATAAGAAGACACTGAGGTCAACACCAAGTGGTGACAGTCTGTTTCATGCTTGAACACAATCTTGAGGCCACTTTTACTCATAAATATAAATATGGTTAACCTGTTGGGGCCAACCAATGGCTAATATTTTAAATTGGTTTGTATGTATTAAAAGACCCACTTGAGATTGCATTCAAGCATAAAACAGACTAACCACTTTGTGTTGACTTCAATGACCATTTTTATATTTATATACGCTCTTTTTTTTTCTTTTTAAACATGAAGGCAGGTGTTGTTATGAGGTGTTGACAAACTATCTCGATAGACTTATGCTTGGAAATTTTTTCTACAGAGGACATATATGTAAAAAAATTACTTGAATATAATGCGAGTGCCTTTTTTTACATAATTTTTAACTGCCCAGTAATTTTTAAAATTTAAAAAAATAATAAGTAATTTAATGTTTATCAAATTTTAGGTATTTTAGTTTTGAGTTTAAATTAGTTACTGGTTTTATTCTCTGAACATCTGTGTTTACAAAAAAAAAAATTAAAAATTGTTTTTAAAATAATGGGAGATGGGCACTAAGCTTTTCCATTTATGATTAGTAAATATTGTTTTTACTTAATAACAATATCACCTAACTGCTACAAATTAACACAGAACTTTAAAAGATTTAAAACTTTATAAATTATTATAATTAAAATTTCCTTATTCATCAAAAAAAAATTTTTTTTAAGAAAATAATGTCCATACCATGTCTTATTCATTAAAGCAATTAAAAGCTTTGCTAATTAAATAAAGTCTTGGTTTTATTGCATTTTTTATTTTATGATTCAGAGTAGATTTTCTTTAACAAGAGGTCCCATTTTACAAAAAGAAAGTAATTGACGATTTAAATTCTCCAAGACTTGTGGCTATAACTAATATAAACATTTAAGTCCTAGAAAAATGAACTTCTTGAAATTTCATAAAATTAAATAAGTGTGCATGTGTAGGCTGGGGGGTGCATTGGGTTTAACAGATTTAAAAAAAAAAAAAAACAATTTACCAAAATTTTCTAAAAAATAAACATTTATAAAGAATTTCATTCGTTTGTGAATAATTCCCAAAAGTTTCATTACAATCTGGCAATTAGTTGATTTTTGCAAGAATTTTCTCATCTAATTTCACTGCAAAAAGACGATGAAATTTTCTGTACTAATTTATAGTCATCTGCTGACACGTGAAAAAAAAGAAAATTTAACCAACATCTTGAAGTTTTTAAAAAGATTAAAAAATATAGTTTAATAATCAAAAAATCATTTGATGTTTTCCCTTAATAATAACAAATATTTTGACAATAAAATTGTTACGTTACGGGGAACAACCAATGAGTTTTTTT